TGAGGCCGTGCTGCTGAGGACGCAGCTGCGCTGGGCAGGGCACGTCTCCAGGAGGGAGGATCACCACCTCCCGAAGGTTGTGCTCTGTGGGGAACTCACCACCGGCTGCTGCAACAGAGGAGCCCCAAAGAGGAGATACAAGGACTCTCTGAAGCAGTATCTCAGATTTGGCTGTATTGACTGCCAGCAGTGGTCACTCTGGCCTCCGATCAGGCGACGTGGATACACCCCATCCATAACGCTGCTGCCTGCTTTGGGAACACACGTAGAATGAGTCTTGAGGAGAAAAGACAACGCAGAAAGAGCCGTGCCTCGCCGATGCCGCCTAAGGAGACTTTCTGCTGTGCCTTTTGCAACTGGACTTGCCCATCCCGCATCGGCCCTCTTAGCCATCAGCGAGCTTGGAGCAAGTGTGGGTAGAGCCCTTCCCATATCTTCGTGCGCGAAGCCCAGCCATGATGATGATGATGATCACTACACACCCATGTAAATAGTGGGATAATTACATGAAGAGGGATGTAATTAGTTTCCTCACAGCAGGATCAATGTTAATGGCATCGACATTAAATGCAGGCCGCTTTACAGCAACACTTCATTGGGGACAGGAAGACCTGCAAGACCCGCTTGTATGCTTTCCGTCATGTTTTCCATCATAACGCGGCGTGTCTTTCGGGTGGCACTGCCTATATGAGGAGTTATTATCACGTTCTTCAGCTTTAACAAAGGGTGATCCCTGGAAAATAAAAAAGAGATGCTGAGGTAATCACTCACGGAGCATACATCTGATATTTGGTCACCTGAAGGGAGCCAGGGAAACACTGAAAATAATAATTAAAAATAAAAACTAATTGCATGACCTAAGCCTACTCAGAGGAGTTCAAACTGATGCTTAGCTTGTGGGTTTTTTTATGCCATAAATCCTCCAAATGAGTCATCGTGAATTTTGCTTAGCTAGCACGGAAGACTCGGGGACATTGTTTCAGTAGGACTAGTGCACGTACACCACGTACTCTTACTCACGGAATTGGGTGACTGCTCATCACATCCTCACAAACTTGGACCGCGCACATACGCTCATATTTAACTTCAATGTGTGCCCTACCTTGGCAAAGGTTCCGGGTACGTCACGTCCAGCGCAGCTGCCTTAATGACATCATTTCGAAGGGCTTCCACCAAAGCATCCTGATCCACCACCAGCCCTGCGTTACAATAAGAAGGATACTCTTAGTTTCCAGATTCCCTACCATTCTCTCGCCATCCTTTCGGGCAAGGTGATCAGGCAAGCAATGAGGGCTCACGACGATCACCAAGCAGAAGCAGTGAAATGGGAGGTGGAAGCATCGTTGTTGGACAGTCGGGGACCACCGTCCAACATTTTATTCAGAGACTTACTTGCTCGTAATTACAAATGTTTCACTGAGATACAACCATGAACATCTAAATAATAATAATAATAATAAACAGAGAATTTACCAAAAAATTTTGGAGTGACTCTCTATTAAGGTTGGATTTTCCCAGCATGTTTTACACCACCAGACCAGAGTGCAGCGGTTTTTTTCTGCGCCCTACCTCTGCTGATGTTGATGAGGGTAGCTGTGGGTTTCATCAGCTCCAGCTCCCTCTTCCCAATCAGCTTGTGCGTCTGTGGAGTCAGGATCACAGACAGCAGCACAAAATCCGACTGCTGGAGCAAGTCGTCGATCTTCTTGCAGTAAATAGCTCCGACGGCGCTTTCTTCGTCCTTGTTTCTGAGGCGAAAAAGCCCCAATTAAACACCAGTAGTAAGCAACAAGAGAAAGTTCGAATCACCATGAGAGAAAAGGTTCCTTAAATTGTTTCCCTCGCTCCGTAGTGCAAAGCAGTCAGGCAGTTATCTGGCTGAAATAAAGTCACAAAAAATGTTGGGCTCTTTCCCACAGTACCAAGCACACTAGAAGCAGAAGTGCAGTCCTGTGGGGATGGAAAGTAACAAACGAGTATCCTCTCAACGCACTGAATAAGTAATGAAACAAAAGCCTTTGTGTCACAGCTTCTGGCTGTGATGGGGATTCTTTTCCCACCCAAGACTGACGTTTGACAGGAATTCCCTTCCTTGTGAAAAGCAAGTGGTCTGAAAATCCCTGAGGAAACCCACAAGACCCCTCTAACTCCTCAGCCATGTCCCCGAGCATCGTACCCACAGAGCTTTTAAATACGGCCAAGGATGGCGATTCAACCACTTTCCTGGGCAGCCAGTTCCAGTCTTTGATAACCCTTTCAGTGTAGTTTTTCCTAATGAAAACCTTTTTTTTTCTCTTCTTTTCTTTTTTCCCCTCAGTCTACAGCAAGAGGTCACCAACATGACAGGAAGGCGCTGAGTCCCGGGCACACCAGTGAGATGTATCACTTCTATCCCTGGCTTTTATTCTGCGTAAATTGGGAAATTAATGACCACCTTGAAGAAAGCGTACGTGCTTCACCACTGAAATAACTGCACAGGGAGCGCATCGTCCAGTGAAAGGTCCAAATAACATGAGAAAGCAGTGAGAGAACATCCTTCCCACAGAGCCGCAACCAGCTTTACCTCCGATTCCTGTTGTGGTACAAAATTGTCATTTCAAAGGCTTTGGCTCTCTGGGCCACTTTGTAGCCAATGGTCCCCATTCCTACGATGCCCAGGGTCGCCCCAGAAACCTCAGCGCCCAGCCAGCCAGCGGGGAAGTACTCCGTGTCGGGGCAGACTGCCATCTGGTAGCCTTGGAGGAGGGAGAAGAAGGAAAATACATCATCTGAAGGACGTCCTACCATCTGGTTACTTTTTTCCCCCGACTTTTTATCATAAGCCAAGGCAGGGGCATCGCAACGTCATCACGTTTCTGGACACGAAGTGAATAATTCACAAGAAGCAAATAACTTTTCTACTTTTTCTTTTTCTATAAAACAGCTGAAGTCATTGCAGTTTATTACCTTCCACAAGTCTGCGGGAAGATGCCAGCATCAGAGCCATCGCAAAGTCCGCAGTGTCCGTGGAAACAGCGAATGGAGTGTTGGACACCTTCACCCCGTAGCTGGAGAGGAGGTTCAGGTCCAGGTGATCTATTCCCACTCCAGCGCTTGCAACTATCTTCAGGTTCGGCAAGCTCTGGAGCAGCTCTTCGTTAATAACCGGTTTGTGATACCATACGTAAATAGCTCTGATCTTTTTGCTGAGGGATTGCTTGTTTTCAACATATTCCTTCATGGTGATGAGATGAAAATGTTTCTCCAGGAATTCGATATGGTCTTCATACACTCCGCTCTCCCCCCCTATAGAGTCAATCAGCACACAAGGCAGTTCCTGACCCTCCATGCCCTATGAAAGCAAAGAGAAAACCACAGGACACGCCCTTAAGGGGCACCTTTTTAAAACTCCGGAGTCGATCGGCACCATTGCGCATTGTTTTCCTGCTTGATGACAGAGTTGGCTACAGATACTCACTCCTCCATGCGGAACTTTTCTGGTGTTTTTCCTGTGTTATTCAGAAGGCTGTTCAATTTTTATATCATCTTGTTAGTAAGACTGGGATACCAGCTTTAAACAAAAGAGCTAACGGGTGTTACTTCTGTCCCGTATTCAATATTTAAAGGCCAAAATCTTGATAATGTGAGAATGAGGCTGCGTGAGCAGAAGAGTATCTTTTAGCCCCCAAGTTGTGCCTTTGAGCACCACCCGCGCAGCTCTATTCATTAGCATTCATGAGATTATTTCAGGAAAAAAAATAATAATAAAGTCTCATTTAATACCACGAGAGCTAGAACTTGCCAACTCAGAGTTACCGATCTACTTCCCCAACGTATCTTTACCCTTTTCTCCCTCGTGTCTCCTCCGGCTTCCCGACAGCCCCAAGCGCTCTGGAAGGAACCGAGCTTGTTATCACAGGTTAAAGATGAGAGAGACCCAACCCCACCCGTCCGCACACACCTCCTAAAAGCGCCCCGCCCCCCCCCCCCCCCCCCGCCCCTGCCTCTGGTGCCAGCTCCGCTCTGCTCTGACACTGCTTGTACGGGAGCTGCTGCGTCACTCCGAGCGGCAAACGCGGCTGACAGATCTCCTGGCACACCTGAAGGGCTTTCCCAGCCTCACCGGTTCCACCCGCGAAACCTCCCGGCGAGAGCTGGAAGAAGCTCGGTCACTGCGGCCGCCAGCCCGGCTCTGGGCAGCCCTGCGCCTGCCCGGCTGGGAAATCCTCCTGGCAGGGATCCTCGGGGCTGTAAATCCCTGCCGATGGAGGCTGCCAAGCAGAGCTTCAGTGCTCGCTTCCCTACAAAAGGGTTGTTACCCTGGTGATGATTTCTGAAGGACGTTTGCGTACATGGAATTCAAGTTCAGACAGTTCAACCTGAGAGCAACCAGCTTGGACCGATGGAGCTACAGCACATTAACTGGTTTCTTAAAGTCTACCGAAGGTTCTCCTTTAACAAAAAGCAACAAGCCCTGCAAGGCTTCCACGTTCCCCGTTTCACATTAACTGCTTCTAAGTTTGCCGATAAGACATAATGGGTGAGCTTTTAACTTTTCATGTTGCAGTACCCCAGAGCAAAGGACCATTGTAAAGCCCCTCTCGAAGACACAGTCGTCCTCAACTCCGCGAATCCAGGAAGGAGCTCTACCGCGTTACGGTGGTGAAGGGAAAAAAAACAACCAACCAAAAAAAAAGGTCGGAACAAGCAACTTTGAAAAGACAACATGGTAGTTTTCCCCTTTGTGTATCAAATCAACACATTTGAATGAACAATTTGTCAGAGGAGCAAAAAACAGAATAGTCGAAGGAAAATTACTCTTTTTAAAGCAAAACCCCAGGATGTACGTCAAGGCAACAAAATGTCAAGAAAATGGGTGTGTTTTCCCTAACAATAGGGAGATCCTTATTTTTTGTGTAATTTGTACATTGAATTTTCAAGTTATGGTTGAAACTCCGTGGGATTTATATCTAAAACCATCACGAAGTGTTACTGCTCGCCCGGCCGGCTGTGTGCTGCAGGCTTTCGCTGCTGACTTTATTCCAGTCCACGTGCTGTTTGCCCATCAAAAATCCCCAAATCGCAGCCAGCGGAGAAAACTGCAGAGGATCGTCTCTGTTCATGGGGCCGCTGCATTTTTTGATCTGTTTTTAGCGCTCCTAAGGTTGGATGTGTTGTGTTCACTGAGCACAGTCTGAGTAGAGCAGAGGCGATGGGAAGATAAAACATTGGAGGCCTCACAGGGGTCGTCCTAGCCAACTCCTCACTAGACATTGCTCTACACGACACATATTACGTAGTTGCCCACTTCCGCTATGTCCCTTCAATAGGGGCAGTATTTGCCATTCTAGCAGGCTTCACCCACTGATTCCCCTTATTTACCGGCTACACCCTACATCCAACGTGAGCAAAAACCCACTTCGGGGTCATATTCACAGGTGTCAACCTAACCTTCTTCCCCCAACATTTCTTAGGCCTAGCTGGGATGCCACGACGATACTCAGATTACCCAGATGCATATACCTTATGAAACACAATATCCTCTCTTGGCTCTCTGATCTCAATAACTGCCGTTATCATACTAATGTTCATTATCTGAGAAGCCTTTTCGTCCAAACGAAAAGTTCTACAACCAGAACTAACTGCTACCAATATTGAATGAATTCACGGCTGCCCACCCCCACACCATACCTTTGAGGAACCAGCGTTCGTCCAAGTCCAAGAAAGGAAGGAGTTGAACCCTCATACGCTGGTTTCAAGCCAACTGCATTAACCACTCATGCTTCTTTCTTATGAGGTGTTAGTAAATAAATTACATAGCCTTGTCAAGGCTAAATTATAGGTAATGACACTATACATCTCACATGGCTAACCACTCACAATTTGGATTTCAAGATGCCTCTTCCCCCATTATAGAAGAGCTTGTTGAATTCCACGATCACGCCCTTATAGTTGCACCAGCAATTTGCACCTTAGTCCTATATCTTCTAGCTCTGATACTAATAGAAAAACTCTCCTCAAACACTGTTGATGCCCAAGAAGTAGAACTAGTTTGAACAATCCTTCCAGCTATCGTACTCATCCTACTAGCCCTCCCGTCACTACAAATCCTATATATAATAGATGAGATTGACGAACCAGACCTTACCCTTAAAGCCATTGGCCACCAATGGTACTGATCCTACGAATACACAGACTTCAAAGATCTGTCATAATCCCCACACTAGATTTACCTTCCGGACACTTCCGACTGCTCGAAGTAGATCACCGAGTTGTTATCCCTATAGAATCCCCCATTTGCGTTATCGTCACTGCTGACGATGTCCTACGCTCCTGAGCCATCCCAACTCTAGGTGTAAAAACAGACGCAATCCCAGGACGATTAAACCAAACATCATTCATCACCACTTGACCTGGGATTCCTTAGCTGTGTGTCAGTTAATTGGATAGTCCTCAATAAATATTTAGAGATTAAGGAAAGGCGGGGAAGCAAAGGGCCATTTTTTTTGCAATGTAATTTGGAAAGAGAGGGTGGTTGGGTCCCGAAGACATTTTGTCCTTGGAGGGATGATTTCCAGTCTGCCATGCCGAGTCGCTGGGCGCTGAGGGTGAGCCAGCCCCTGATGCCGACGACCAAGACAGGTATCCTGCGGGCTGGCAGAGAGCGCTTCTGTCCCTCATCACCCCGGATTCTTGAAATATCTGCAGAAGTAGGAGTGAAACCCCAAGTAAATGCCAAGCGTAGTGTGATGTTTTGTGCAGGAGTGAGACAAAGCAGCGGATCTGGTGTCACGTTTGCTGCTTTGCATCCAGAGAAAAGTTTGTGCGTGCAAAACCTTGTGGGTTTTTTCTAGTTTTGGGATATCGATCTGAAAAGCATTATTTTTTTTTTTTCCTTTTTTTCTTTTCTCTTGGCTCCTTTGGCTTCTTGTTGCTTAGTTTTCAGCTCTGTAATTTATTACTTAATCTTTTCTTTTTTAAGAATAGACTTCTTTTTTGTTAAGGTCACACGGGTGACAGCAAAAGGCATACCGGGCACCTCAGGCAAGAAGGAGGTACGTGGGACAGCCTGGAAATTCTGGCCAGCCACCTTGCTGCTCCTGAAAAGCTGCGGGAGTTGGTAACGTCACCCTGTGGTAAAAACCAGCGGAAGGAAGCGTCTTTGGGCAAGCGTCAGCAACAACCCGCTGCGGGAAAAAGGAGGTGGAGATGGCTCTGCAAAAATGCAGGAGGCTATGGGCAAACCCCTTAAATTTGCCATAAAGTTCACTGAGAGGTTAAATAATCATAGCACTCATCACAGCCTAGCGGCCGGGTGCCCACCACAGCTGCTCTGTCACTCTCCCTTTTTAGCTACACGGGGGAGAAAAATCTGATGAAGGGTCCGTGGTTTGAGATAAGGGCAGGGAGATCACCCGTGGTTACCAGCCTGGGCAAGACTGACTCGATTTGGGGAAACGAATTAAATTCACGAGCAATCCAGTTGGAGAAAAGTAATGAGAAATAGAAGCAGATCTTCAAAATAACACCTGCCCACCAGCCCTCCCTTCTTCCCGGGCTTAACATCAACCCCAATTTACTCACCGAGTGGCGCAGGGGGACAGGAATGAGGGTTGGGGTCAGTTCCTCTGATGTCCCCACCGCTCCTTCTTCCTCCGGGGGAGGACTCCTCACTCTGCCCCTTGTGGGGTCCCTCTCACGGGCGAGGATCTTCACACACCTTGCTGCAACGTGGCTCCTCTCCTGAGAGACAATTCATCACAAACTGCCCCAGCGTGAGCCCACAGGGTCCTTCCTTCAGGGGAAACTGCTCCAGCGCGAGCGCCCCGTGACATCACACGAGTCCTGCCCACCAGCCTGCCCCAGCCCGGGCTTCTCTCTCCCCAGGGCTGCAGGTCCTGCCAGGAGCCGGCCGCGCCACAGGGTCCTCCACGGGCCACCGGGGGGACATCGACACCCCGACACCTCCACGGGCTGCAGGGGCACATCCGCTCCCTCTCTTCGCTGCCCTCGGTGTCTGCACATATCCTCACTCCTCTCTCTCTGCCAGCTGTCGTGCGGTGCGGTTTTTCCCCGTTTCTTAAATACGTTATCCCAGAGGCGTTCCTGTCCCATCGTCACGGATGGGCTCAGCTGTGATCAGTGGCGGGGCTGCCGTTGGAGCCAGCCGGCGTTGGCTCTGTCACACCCAGGGGAAGCTCTGAGCAGCTTCTTGCAAAATCCACCCCCACAACCCTCCCACTGCTACCAAATTTTGGCCAGGCAAACCCAGTACAATTGCTCAGAGCTCTTCTCCAACCTAAACAAGCGATTCTTTCCCCAATGCTACTTTTTTTCCTTTTGGGCTCC